TCCCAGATGAATGTCAATAAACATTGGAAAAGGGAAATCTCTGGCCAGAGTATAATGAATGTTAGATGAAAAGTAGTTTCATGTTGACGAGTTCTATTGTATCGATTGACAATTTGATTAAAGATTAAGTTAAATATTTCGACATACCATGAACCATTCTTACTTAGGATTAGATAACGGAGGGATTTGACTACACGGTACATACGATCAGAATCGGTTCATTGGAGTTTACACTTCATTTTAGTTTAGGGGTTATGGAACATTGCTAGACGTCAACCATAATCATTGGGAGTTTTGATTATAAAGAATTATAACGAAACATATCAAAATCAGATATTGGGCCCACAGCTAGATCACAGTGAACCAAAATGGTTACACATAAAACTAAGCTCAAGGAGAGAAAGTAATACATATCATTAATCAGATTAATGATGTTCGGATGTAAACGGTTGCATCCGAATCAATGTATTGGTGAGAAATGATTATCCATGGATAGCTAGCACTAACCAAGGGTAATAAGGATTTATTAAATATTATTATTGAATTGGATTCAATGATAGGGGCAAAAGTGCATTGGTTTTATTCTAAAGGGTTAGAATATTTAATAGAATTAAAATTTGGTCTAATTATGAATTAACCATAAAACCAAGGACTTGACATAAATGTTTATTCTCAAGTTAATTTTAAATTGTTTGAGGCCTTCCCAAAACAATTTAAAATTACACTTTGTGCCCATGGTATATAAATTAAGTTTTATACCATTTTAATTCAATTGAATCAATTGAAACAAAAAGCAATCTCTCACTCTCTCGGCTCTCTCATCTTTGGCTTGGGTGGACTTCATTTTGAGTTTCTTCATTCTCTTTTGAAGAATCTAGACTCCAAGTTTCAACATCAAGCTTTTAATAGCAAAAGGAGTTGGTAATTTTCTATCATTTTCTTACATTAATATGTTAATGTTATGATGGTTTGTTTTCTACCTTATGTCCATCATCTTGATCATCATTTTCTCTCCATTTCTATGTCCAAAATGCATGAATCCTAACATGTAGTTGTAACAAATTTGGAAGGTACTTGGTTGAGTATGTATGTGGCGGTCAATAAGTCATCACCCCAAAAGGTGATTGGCAAATTTGCTTGTGCCATCATAGAGCTCACCGTTTCAAGTAGGGTTATGTTTCTTCTTTTGGCAACACAATTCTATTGCAGAGTTCTTGGAATAGTTGATTGATGTTCTATTCCCATTTCATTACAAAAATTTTAGAACTGATCAGATAAATATTCACGATCTCAATCGGTTCGTAGAACTTTTATATTTTTATCTAATTGATTCTCAAATAAGTTTTTAAACTTCCTAAAACATTTTAAAGCTTCAGATTTATGAGAGATAAAAAAGACATAACCATATCGAGTGAAATTTTCTATAAATGTGATGAAATAAATAGCCCCATGTCTAGTCTTCACATTCATTGGACCACATATGTCAGAATGAATTAATTGCAATAGAACTTTAGCTCTTATCACTTTTCCAAATGGTTTTCTTGCTGTTTTTCTAGCTAGGCAATGTTCACGAGTAGACAAGTCTACTTTTGTTAAGTTTCCTAACAAGCATTCTCTTGCTAGTATATTCATTCGTTGTTGGCCAATATGGTCAAGTGTGCATTTCATACATTCACATTATCATTATTGGAATATGTAATGAAGGAAAAACAAGCATAACTATAATTATAATCAATATCTAGTACAATAAAACCATCGGAAATGTAACCGCAACCATAGTAATTTGTGTCCAAAAATAAATGGTCACCAATACTTGAAAAGTGTAAATTAAAACCTAATTTAATAAGTTCTAACACGGAAATCAAACTTTAACGAATATCGGATGCATATAATATGTCATGTAGGTATATGATTCGACCTCCATGCATGGTCAATTTGCATGTGCCGATCCCTTTAACTTCCACTCTTGAATTGTTACCTACATATATCCACTTTGTTTCCCGTGGTATTTGTCAAAATTCCATGAAAGCACTCTTGTCTTTCGCTATATGGTCTATGGCTGTTGAATCTACAGTTCGCAAATGATAAGATTTAGTTAGAGAACCAGAAATGGAAATATTTATAGAAATTACTTGGCAAACAAGTAATTTACCTTTTTCGGCTCGCAACAATTGCGAGCAAAATGTCTCTTGTTTCCACAGTTATAGCATTTTACCTTTGCTATGTTTTTCTGTCTGGTAGGATGTTTTCCTTTTCTGTGTTTATAAAACTTTCTTTCCTTTCCTTGAGCCTTATCATTATTGCCTCTTCTTTGGGATCCACCTTGGAATTTATGCTTAAATCCCTTCCCACCATGCGAACTGGAACCAATCATATACACATCAGTATTTGTCTTACTATCATTAAGACGATCTTCTTCCAATTCTAGATGTCATGTGGCATCTTCTAAATTTTTTATGCCCTCATTGTAGGTAAGGTGTATCTTCATGTGTTCCCAATTTTGAGGCAATGATCTTATGATAGCTGGAACCTGTTATTCATCAGTTAGGATATGATCTGCGTCTATCAACTCACTAATCATGTTTAAAGTGCCTTAAATGTACTCTCATAGTATGTTCAAGCTTTTTCTTATATGTGTCAAACTTGATTATAAGTGACCGAAGTTTGGTAATGGATGTACCTCCAAACTTTGTAGCAAGGGCAGACCACATTTCCTTTGCTAATTCATATTCCTGATACTTTTTCATGAGATCATTGTCTATGTTGCTCAACAAAGTGATGCGAGTAGTGGAATTCTTTTTCTTCCACATGTCATAAGCCGCACGGTCTCTTCTATGTTGAGCCATGGCTCCTTCTTTAGGCTCTTCCATGGTTGTGGTAAGAACTTTAAGAACCTCCTGTTCTTCTAAGACATATTGGATTTTTATACTCTATATCTCATAATTTTCGCTGTTAAATTTTTCTCATTTATTAAGTTCGGCGACAATGTTCTTAGATGTAGATGCCATTTCTAAAAAAATATACACATTGGATAATGCACATTATTCAATGCTCAGAACATACATACATTCCCTTAATTAATTATATTAATAATAATTGTATATTAGATTTGGAATCAAGAGTTAACTATGTCAACAATCATTATCCAAAATTATAATCTTTAACTATCATAGATATAATTAATTCTAAATCAACATAAATGCATATAAAAAACATATAAACATTCATATAAACCAATATAAGTTCACATGGAACAATAAAAAAAAAAAAAAAAATTCAATTTTTAATAAAAAGGAGTAAATAAAACTAATTTCATTGCATAAATAGAATTCAACATGTATTGACATTAAATCAAACGTCCAAAAAATAAATAAATTAAAAACTAAATGTAATGCCACTTCCCACGAACTGGGAAGGATCTAAGAAGCCTTATCCTAAGGCCATTATCTAACTTGTAAGTTATTCTAGGCAAATGAACTCCTAATTTCTTGTGATGTCCTTTACGAGTTAAGACTCCAATAGATGCACCAGCCATCTTTCTGACACTCCAATCTATGTACTGCTTGATGTATTTGTTAACTAAACGTCTATAACCTTTATTAGCATCTTTAGGGTTTTGATCTTCTAGCTTGTTCCAAACCAGATCAAGGAGACCAACGAGACTAGGGTAATTAAGAGTATCTCTAAAGACATTGTATTTTATCTCATCTCTAATTAATTTCCCTTGCCAGACAATTTCCTGGATCTTTTCATTCACATGAATGAAATGATTCAATAGTTGCATCAACTCATCCTCTGTTTCTTTTTACATTAAGGTGTGAGTTTGTAGAGTTCTAATTATGCTCATTATTCTTTCCTTCTGAGCGGGTGTTTTAGCAACCCTCACACGTAGACCTGGGCATTTGGGACTGGTCCAAAAAAACTGGTCCTAGGATTGGTCCTCACAAGGACCTGTCCTAGGAGGCATCTTCCTAAACCCGAACCAAGCCCATGGAGGAGGGACCGATCCCTAGATTGGTCCCAGGCTTGATTGGGCCCCCCTCCAAGGCCCGAGCCGGGGACTAGTCCTAGGCCGGATCCCAAACCCCTTTGCTTTTTTTCAAAAAATTCCCTTGGTAAATATCCAAAACCCCTATAAATTTTGAAATTGACAAAAATATTGAAGGTCAAATTGATATTTTACAAAATAAAAAAATGGCCCCTTGGGTGGAAATAAATTTTCCAGGCCCCTAAAAATTACATGAACCCCCTACATAATTTTATTTGGCCCCTTAAATATAAAAAAAGTTGGGGGTGGAAATAATTTTCTAAGCCCATGGGACCGGTCCTATGGGCCTAGGACTAGTCTGGGCCCTCTGAAATTTCTCATGGGCCTGGGACCATGAGTGACTGGTCCCAAATGGGACTCGGGCCCAGACCCGAACTCGAACCCGAACCTGGTTGGGATTGGTCCCTACCCTAGCATACTCACACGTCTATAACTTAACATTTTTTTTTATAACAAATACAAAAAAAAAAAAAAAAAAAAAAAAAAAAAAAAAAAAAAAAAAAAAAAAAAACTATTCATTTATCAAATAAAGGTTAACATATTTGACAAATAATATATTTACACGTATTTATGACTCAAAAACTAAAAATATACCCAAATATCAACCAAGTATGCATTTCTTCGTTTAAAAAAGGAAAATAGCTATTAGAACCGCATGCTCAGGAAATAGTATCCAACGCGTCGATATGCGCCGACTGCATCCCACACGCGTTGGACCCTAAACTTATCCTAACTTCGGTCGATTTGACCCATTTGTCCTTTGATCGGATCAACTTGACCCAATTTGACTGACCGGGTCGAATACTCGCATCAGCTCGATCCGTTTGACTCTATTATGGATTGGGCTTGGGCTAATATATCATGAATTATTCAAGACTGATATATATATTGCTGGAGATTTAAAAAAAAAAAAATGAAACTTCATTCAACGTATAGGTATTTATCCCATGGTTTTAAAATCTTAAACAGAAAACAGAAAAATGGAAATTCATTCAACATATATCAGCTTTGCCTTGAAACCTAAGTATTTGGACAAGAAATGACATTAACCCCCGAACCGAAACCAAACATCCTTTGACTCTACTTTAACCAAACCCCATTAAATTACCCAGATCAGATCTCTCTTCTCTCATTCAACAATCCAATCTCAGGTCAATCCAATCTCTTCCTCTCTATTTTCAATTTTTTACATTCCGTTTTTAATTTCATGATATGATCTCGACTCTGTTAATGTTAACTTTCATTACTTGTTTTTCTTTTAGCTTGTAATTGGTTCATTCAATTTTTATTAACGCCATCAAGAATCAATCCAGCTTTTTCGGAGGTTGTCTGGTTCTTTAGTGGGTTTATTGCTTGAGTTTTTAATTTTTAAGTTGTCACTGAGTCATGAATTTTTTTTTTAATTGTAACAGGTAGCAATTTTGATTGAAGCATAATATCTTAACAATTCAAACTCGAAAATAATTGAAATTGAGTTTTAATTAACAATTCGAGTTTTGGGATATGGCTTTTAGATGAGGAATTAGGAGATGGTAGAGGGTATTTTAGATCCAGAAAAGGTTGAGAATATTACAGAAGTTTATTACATTGATAGCGCAAACCAAGCTTCTTTACTTCCTAGGGAGCCTTCGTTCTCGGGCTGGTGTGAAGAACATGACCTACCACATATGCATCGTCAGCTTCAAAATTCTGAAGCAAGTGTAGAAGACTCTGATTTTGAATTGCCTTCGCTTCAAGAGGGTGAGTTAGAAAAAAGGATGAAGCTGAATGGAGGGAATACTATGGTTGATGATTCCGTACTTGATAAAAGGAGTGGAGATGAAAAGTATGTGCCGTTTGATATTGAAAATGGTTCTGTAAGGGAGATAAGCTTATCAAATATTGGTGTTGATGGCCCCAGATCGAGTGGTGATAATGGAACATTGCCACCACATTCTAGGAGCTATGTTTCTGCCGCTGATGTGTTGAAGACATTGTTTTTCATACTTATGTGGTACACTTTCAGCACATTTTTGACCTTGTAAGTTCATGCTTTACTCAATCATGGGACTTATAGTGCATATGTTTTATTGTTGTGAGCTTATTCTTTTTTCTTTTCTTTGGTTGATCTCTGTAGGTATAACAAAACTCTGTTGGGAGATGATATGGGAAAGTTCCCTGCTCCTTTATTGATGAATACTGTCCATTTTACAATGCAAGCTGTTTTATCAAAAGCAATCACTTGGTTCTGGTCTCATAGGTTTCAACCTTCTGTTGCTATGTCATGGAGGGATTACCTTTTCAGAGGTAACCTCAACAAATTTCTATCCTTCTTTTCCTTGTTGTCATTGTTGTTTTTACTTTTTTTAGATCACGCCAATGCAACTAGCAAGTTTTTCTTATGGCTTTGGTATATTGTTGCCAACTAATCTGTTGCTTATTATTTATTTGTAATACTAAGCAGAGAGAGGAATGGTTGGGAGGTTGATGCTTCCTTGACATTAATTTTTCATTTTTTTTTTTATGTGGGTAATGCTATGTTGTTTTTGTCTATCAGATTATTTCTTTTAACAACACTATTTTGAAAATGTCGACCTTGCCTAGTACTGATTGTAGAGGGGAAGTAAACATTCACTGTACAAATGTGAATTCAAATTAAGATTTTATGAGGTGATAATAGAAAGAATGAATCATCAATGCTTTTGAATAATAAGTGCTGAGACAAAAGTGTTCCAAATCACATTTGTGTCACCAGTTGCATACATGGTGATATTAACATTCAAAATATTTGATTGATTTTTTTTTTATTTTTTATTTTCTTAATCTATTAAAGTATTTGGTATCCATCTTTGATCTAAATGCTTATCATTTAAACTTGTTGTGTATCATCTCCCTTTAACCAACCTCTAGTGTTTGTGAATGCTATTCTTCTTTCCTTCCATGCTTCTACTGGTGAATTCTTTATTACTTATTAACTTTTCTATCAGCTAATGCTACAGATGGACTTTGCCTTTAACAGTTGTACCAACGGCTCTAGCAACAGCACTGGATGTTAACTTGAGCAATGCATCCCTTGTTTTCATCTCTGTTACTTTTGCCACAATGGTCGGTTGTATTTCTCTGTCAAATTAGTTTTGAACTTCCTTTTCATGCCATGCTGAATGTTTACTGACTTCAATCTTTGTTTTGTTTTATAGTGTAAATCTGCTGCTCCTATATTCCTCATTTTATTTGCTTTCGCATTCAGGTAAATGTCTAATCATCCAAGTTTTTGCCAATCTCACCAATTTTACTGTTAACAATATAAATATCTCACGTGAATGTAGTGTTGTCTTTTATGAGTATTTTATTAATACATACATACGAAAACTTATTATGTTAAACTTATGAGTGTGTTTTTATGTATGCCTGGATTATGTATATATGTGCCTATAATCTTTGCATGTGCCCTTGCTGTGTATGCCTGTATGTGTGTGACACATGTATTATATATGCTATCAATATCATTGTGCTCATGTGTCAGAAAGTTATGATACTCCCTTATTCATCTCATGTTCTATCGTGCTGACATGGAGACTGTAAAGTGAAGGGTTAGGGAGGCACTATTAGCGGAAAAGGAAGTATGGAATAAAAATGAGTTTGAAGATATTAGAGAAAGCATTAGTTTAGTCTGCATGGACTTAATTAATTGAAGTTGGGTTTGTGGGTTAATATGAGTTCTTTTGACTCTTATGGAGAACATTTTTGCTTTTGAGGATAGAAGAGAGGAAGATATTAATCATTTTGGGACAGAGTTATTCTTTTCACTTCTCTATGGAGGTTGGTCCCTAAAGAATTCCAGGATACATATTTTTCTTTATTCATCTTAATTGAGGGAAGTGTTTTTTATATCGGTTTTGAATAGCTTTTCATACCCCAATCATGAGTCTTTGTGCTAATGAGTAGACATTTGATCCACATTATACCCTTCTTTTTATTAATATAATTTTAAAGTCTTGTATATTAGAAAATAAATAAATTGGGGGAGGGGGGAGGAAGTTATGAATTAATTATTTACTGGCATCCCAAAGTCTTTATTGGAGCTACCTTAGAAATTAGAATTAAATGATTGCGCTTTTCAAAAATAATGTTCCGTTGCGGATCATTAACATTTTTTGCTCAAATATCCTCATTTGTTGGCACTTAAACTTTATAAATGATATCCCCTTGTTTTACTATATTACTAGCGATCAAAAGAAAAATATCTCCTTCATTTCCCCTGCTTTCTGATGAGACTGTCAGATTTGTGGTGTACAATAGGAAGTCCAAGAGAGGCAAGTAGGGGATTATAGCATTGTAACAAGCAGATCCGGCTGAGTGAGGTGTTAAAAATTAGTTATTGAGTGGACAGATGGCAGCAATAGGTGGATTAGGAGAAGGATTTTGTTAGATAGAAACGAGAATAAAAAGGGAGGTAAAAGGAGAGGAGGATATCTGGAAAATTGGAAGGGAAAACAGGGGAGGATGCTGACCCTCGGAAGTTCAGCCTGTTTCTTAATCTTTTTCTGTCTGTTTTGTTATTTTTCTTTCATGTTTGGATTGAGGTTGTCTAATTCCTTCTTGGTATAGCTTTTATCCTCTTCTTTTGTTAATATATATATATATAGATAGGTTCTTCAGTTCTGGTGTTTCCCGTTGTTAGCCTTATATTCTGATTTTTATTGCTTAAAGTGTTTGATCTCTGCTTTATCTGAATTGATTGAGGAGTGGGTTCCAACTCTCCCTCAGAACTGGTGTTTTGCACATTAACCATCATATAGATGTTACAGGGATGTGTTTGGAGCATGATGGTTATTGTTAAACCTTTGCCTTGTTTCATTCCTCTTGGTTGCCTACTCTAATAGAGATTTGTGTTCTGGGAATGCCTAATCTGGTTATGAAGTACAAAATGTGTGAGAATAAGGCTGCTTTGTTTTATAAATTTGACTGCAAAGGTGTACAAAATTATATGCTTTTTCCCCGAACTTTTGATATTTAATGCAAAATATTATGACACAGAATTCTCTGCCATCTTTCATTTTACCTTTTGTAGGCTGGAGTCTCCGAGCTTTAAACTTTTAGGTATCACAGTGGTTATCTCTGTTGGAATCTTATTAACAGGTATGCAGTGTAATCATTTTCTTTCTTTCACGTTGTGTAATATCAGGATTTGAATAACATTTATTTTCTTCCTTATTTTGTTTAAATCTCTCAGTTGCAACAAAATATCTGAAACTGGGTAAAGTGAAAACGAATAGCCTTTGAGGCATAGAATGTTTGTAATGAATGACTACAAATAACATTTATATAGTTATATATGCTTATTTCATGAGATGCAGAGTTGGGAGATTACACTAGTAGGGAAACTAGGAATTCCACTTACCAAAAAAAAAAAAAAACTAGGACTTTCTGTTACTTTTCTGCGAATTGCTTGAGTGATAAAAGTATCCAGATCCCTCCAACTTTAGAAATCTATGTGTCTATTTATGTGGGATTTACAATTGATAAAGTGGGCTTGGGTAGAACTCACTCCCAAAAGCTAGCTCAAAGGAGGAGGGAGCCCAATCACTTATATACACCATAACAACTCACTATTGGGACGATGTGGGACAAATTCAACTTCTAACAACAATTAAATGACATGACACCATTTTTTATATGAAACTATGAATTTTATATTAATGAAAAAAGGGTGAGGAGATGCAGCAATCAGATGTCTACCAAGTATCAAAAATACCATGGGAGGCAAAATGTTTCTATAAACTACAGTAATTGTTCCTTCCCAGAACAAAAATGTCCGCAATTTATACAAAATCAACTGAAAACTCCTTAATTGAGACGAATGAAGAAAAAAATTCCTAAAATTTCTAAGCAACCAAAGGCCAAAAGGAAGCGGAAAGGCAATAATCTTTCACAAATGACTTGGCTTTTAGGTTTGATGAGTTTGATCATCTGTGATTGTATTACTTTACAATTATGTATTGATGGAAGTTCCTAGCTTTTCCTGTGACCTCCACCATCATTACTATTATTGGCCGTGAACACACCCCACCCCTCCTCTCTTTTTTTTCGAGGTGTGGGCATTGGGAGGGTCCTTGCTAAAATTTATTGCAGTTCTCAAGCATTATAATGCCCCCAATAAAAAACTGAGTGTTCTGATATGCTCTTTTTTATCACTTCAAACACTAGTTGCAAAGGAGACTGACTTTGAGTTTTGGGGTTTTATTTTTGTTATGCTTGCTGCTGTGATGTCTGGGTTTCGCTGGTGCATGACTCAAATTCTTCTACAGGTATTGTTTAGTTGTTTCCTCAATTTTCATTATCTAATGAGTTTATATAATCTGAGGCATAACTCCAATACTTTTGATTCCATAGTTATACAATCTGACTTCAATTTACTGTTTTTCTGTTGGCGGTGCATGGTGAAATGGAAATGTACATACAGAAAGAAGCTTATGGTAGGTGCTATTTCTCACTATTCCATTTGATTTGAAGTTTTAGCTGATATTTCTTGTGATTAGATTTGCATGTAGTGCTTTAATTGACTGCACATGTACACAATAATATTTATCATGTTTCTTTCGTAAATATTTTGTCACAATTGTATGCTTAACTGAAGAATTTGTTTCTAAATTGTTCTACTTTCAGGTCTTAAAAATCCACTTACCTTGATGAGCTACTTGACTCCTGTGATGGCAGTGGTGACTGCTCTTCTTTCCCTTTTTTTGGATCCATGGCATGAATTCAGAGAGAACAATTACTTCAATAACTCGTGGCATGTCACTAGAAGTTGCTTGCTGATGCTTTTTGGTGGAACTTTAGCCTTTTTCATGGTATGAATTGCAGTTAAACCTTCTATTTTTCTTGCATGAAAGGGGTGTGGGAAAGTTTTACATAGTAGTTGGCAAATATTGGATGCTTTTCATGTTCTGTCTGATAAGCTTTTATGCTAAACACATTTCTTTTTATCTGACTCTCATGGGTGCCCAAGGAGTTAAGCTATTAACTCTTGTTTCAGGTATTGACAGAATATGTACTTGTCTCAGTAACAAGTGCTGTCACGGTAACAATAGCAGGTGTTGTTAAGGAATCTGTAACAATATTGGTAAAGCTCTTCTCTAAACCTCTATTCTTACAAATTATTTGTGCAGAATGTTGGCCTTTGTCTATGCTGTATCGTTTGTCTGGTTATCAGTCAATCTGAAAATGTTTGCATAGATGCATTGTAAAGATTTTCCTCTTTAGTTTCATGTTATCTTTGTGTTAATGGTTGCAAAGTATCAAGTTTTCATTAAAAAAATACTTCTGCTGACTTCAATTTGGAAACGTGTAGGTTGCAGTTTTCTACTTCCATGACAAGTTTACTTGGTTAAAGGGCATTGGTCTCTTTACAATCATGGTTGGTGTCAGTTTGTTCAACTGGTTCAAGTAAGTCCGTAATATAGTTTTGAACTAGAATTATATGCTTCTATGCTTTTTCTTATGGCAACGTGAATTGATATTTTATCAGCTCTCTATTTAGTTCTTTTTCATTTTTGGTATCGATATTTTTCTTGATAAGCCTAAATTGGTAGAATTTTAAAGTTCACTTCATGGTTTTTGAGCTTATAGATAATAAAATGTGTGAATTATATATTTAGTTGTGGAAGGTACAAAATGGAAAATTTTGATTTTTTACCTACATAAGCTTGGCAACTTATTGCTATATTTTGCTTTCCAGTCAAGTTTTCCTAATATTTTTCTAATTATTTATTTTTGTTGATGCTATCCTCTTTCAGATACCAGAAGCTAAAGAAGGGTCATGCAAGTGAAGATGACATTTTGAGTTCACCCACAGCAAACGTTTCTGCAAAATATGTTATCCTAGAGGAGGTTGACGATCTAGATGAGGGCACTTGACTGTTCAGTTATTGCATCACATGAATTTTATAAATTTTATGTAAGTATTTTGTTGAACGTCCTCAACTCAAAATGTTTATAATATCTATGCAGTTTGAGGGCATTTCTTCTTTCAACTTTGTATTTCCTGTATGATTTATGTTAATAGTAGTATTTAATTTGGTTTTTATCACTCAATGTTTCCAAAAGTGTGTTATTAACTACTGGTATATTGTTGATTTCAGGTTGGTGTTATGAAGAAAAACTTGTTGCAGGTGTCAATGCTAAATTGGTCTATATATGCAGTATTTAGGGTGGCAAAGCTTTGCCTTCATTTTTATTGCTCCTCAAGCAGGCCAGTGGCGGAAACAAGAAAAGTGCGCATACAATATTTGGGGTTGAGGCCAATCCGCATTCGCGAGAGAAACCCAATTCTAACAGGAGGTTCCCTCCAAACTTTTCGTAGTGAAAATTTTGTCTCCTGTGTAAGATACATGCTTCAAAATGGTCAGTTTGAAATCATTTTATTGTCACTTACTAGTTTTTGAGTTGTTTAGACATTGAGGATGTAAGTGGCAACCACAAACTGTAATAGATTTTGGGTGTTCCGTTTCTGTTTTTTCAGTGTCATATATCACCTTTTGCTTTTCTAAAATTTCTATTGATCATTGCCTGTACAACTCCATCGTATATTTAATGTCATTGGACCTTTAGAAATTGGGACGATGTGGGACAAATTCAACTTCTAACAACAATTAAATGACATGACACCATTTTTTATATGAAACTATGAATTTTATATTAATGAAAAAAGGGTGAGGAGATGCAGCAATCAGATGTCTACCAAGTATCAAAAATACCATGGGAGGCAAAATGTTTCTATAAACTACAGTAATTGTTCCTTCCCAGAACAAAAATGTCCGCAATTTATACAAAATCAACTGAAAACTCCTTAATTGAGACGAATGAAGAAAAAAATTCCTAAAATTTCTAAGCAACCAAAGGCCAAAAGGAAGCGGAAAGGCAATAATCTTTCACAAATGACTTGGCTTTTAGGTTTGATGAGTTTGATCATCTGTGATTGTATTACTTTACAATTATGTATTGATGGAAGTTCCTAGCTTTTCCTGTGACCTCCACCATCATTACTATTATTGGCCGTGAACACACCCCACCCCTCCTCTCTTTTTTTTCGAGGTGTGGGCATTGGGAGGGTCCTTGCTAAAATTTATTGCAGTTCTCAAGCATTATAATGCCCCCAATAAAAAACTGAGTGTTCTGATATGCTCTTTTTTATCACTTCAAACACTAGTTGCAAAGGAGACGGACTTTGAGTTTTGGGGTTTTATTTTTGTTATGCTTGCTGCTGTGATGTCTGGGTTTCGCTGGTGCATGACTCAAATTCTTCTACAGGTATTGTTTAGTTGTTTCCTCAATTTTCATTATCTAATGAGTTTATATAATCTGAGGCATAACTCCAATACTTTTGATTCCATAGTTATACAATCTGACTTCAATTTACTGTTTTTCTGTTGGCGGTGCATGGTGAAATGGAAATGTACATACAGAAAGAAGCTTATGGTAGGTGCTATTTCTCACTATTCCATTTGATTTGAAGTTTTAGCTGATATTTCTTGTGATTAGATTTGCATGTAGTGCTTTAATTGACTGCACATGTACACAATAATATTTATCATGTTTCTTTCGTAAATATTTTGTCACAATTGTATGCTTAACTGAAGAATTTGTTTCTAAATTGTTCTACTTTCAGGTCTTAAAAATCCACTTACCTTGATGAGCTACTTGACTCCTGTGATGGCAGTGGTGACTGCTCTTCTTTCCCTTTTTTTGGATCCATGGCATGAATTCAGAGAGAACAATTACTTCAATAACTCGTGGCATGTCACTAGAAGTTGCTTGCTGATGCTTTTTGGTGGAACTTTAGCCTTTTTCATGGTATGAATTTCAGTTAAACCTTCTATTTTTCTTGCATGAAAGGGGTGTGGGAAAGTTTTACATAGTAGTTGGCAAATATTGGATGCTTTTCATGTTCTGTCTGATAAGCTTTTATGCTAAACACATTTCTTTTTATCTGACTCTCATGGGTGCCCAAGGAGTTAAGCTATTAACTCTTGTTTCAGGTATTGACAGAATATGTACTTGTCTCAGTAACAAGTGCTGTCACGGTAACAATAGCAGGTGTTGTTAAGGAATCTGTAACAATATTGGTAAAGCTCTTCTCTAAACCTCTATTCTTACAAATTATTTGTGCAGAATGTTGGCCTTTGTCTATGCTGTATCGTTTGTCTGGTTATCAGTCAATCTGAAAATGTTTGCATAGATGCATTGTAAAGATTTTCCTCTTTAGTTTCATGTTATCTTTGTGTTAATGGTTGCAAAGTATCAAGTTTTCATTAAAAAAATACTTCTGCTGACTTCAATTTGGAAACGTGTAGGTTGCAGTTTTCTACTTCCATGACAAGTTTACTTGGTTAAAGGGCATTGGTCTCTTTACAATCATGGTTGGTGTCAGTTTGTTCAACTGGTTCAAGTAAGTCCGTAATATAGTTTTGAACTAGAATTATATGCTTCTATGCTTTTTCTTATGGCAACGTGAATTGATATTTTATCAGCTCTCTATTTAGTTCTTTTTCATTTTTGGTATCGATATTTTTCTTGATAAGCCTAAATTGGTAGAATTTTAAAGTTCACTTCATGGTTTTTGAGCTTATAGATAATAAAATGTGTGAATTATATATTTAGTTGTGGAAGGTACAAAATGGAAAATTTTGATTTTTTACCTACATAAGCTTGGCAACTTATTGCTATATTTTGCTTTCCAGTCAAGTTTTCCTAATATTTTTCTAATTATTTATTTTTGTTGATGCTATCCTCTTTCAGATACCAGAAGCTAAAGAAGGGTCATGCAAGTGAAGATGACATTTTGAGTTCACCCACAGCAAACGTTTCTGCAAAATATGTTATCCTAGAGGAGGTTGACGATCTAGATGAGGGCACTTGACTGTTCAGTTATTGCATCACATGAATTTTATAAATTTTATGTAAGTATTTTGTTGAACGTCCTCAACTCAAAATGTTTATAATATCTATGCAGTTTGAGGGCATTTCTTCTTTCAACTTTGTATTTCCTGTATGATTTATGTTAATAGTAGTATTTAATTTGGTTTTTATCACTCAATGTTTCCAAAAGTGTGTTATTAACTACTGGTATATTGTTGATTTCAGGTTGGTGTTATGAAGAAAAACTTGTTGCAGGTGTCAATGCTAAATTGGTCTATATATGCAGTATTTAGGGTGGCAAAGCTTTGCCTTCATTTTTATTGCTCCTCAAGCAGGCCAGTGGCGGAAACAAGAAAAGTGCGCATACAATATTTGGGGTTGAGGCCAATCCGCATTCGCGAGAGAAACCCAATTCTAACAGGAGGTTCCCTCCAAACTTTTCGTAGTGAAAATTTTGTCTCCTGTGTAAGATACATGCTTCAAAATGGTCAGTTTGAAATCATTTTATTGTCACTTACTAGTTTTTGAGTTGTTTAGACATTGAGGATGTAAGTGGCAACCACAAACTGTAATAGATTTTGGGTGTTCCGTTTCTGTTTTTTCAGTGTCATATATCACCTTTTGCTTTTCTAAAATTTCTATTGATCATTGCCTGTACAACTCCATCGTATATTTAATGTCATTGGACCTTTAGAAATAGGGAAGTCGTAAGCGTCTAAGTGATTTCAGAAGGAATTAAGATTTGGAATACGGATAGGAAAAGGAAACAAACGCGTATTTTAGTTATTTAAAGTAGTATTTTAAAAATATTATTGTTAAGTAAAGTTAGGTGGTTATTATAAGGTAGTTGGGTAATTATTGCGAAGTAGAATTTAAAAATTAAAGGTAGTTGAATAATTTGGAGTAGTATTTTGAGAATAGGGAAACAAATATGCATTTTGATTTGGAATATGAATAAGATATTTAAACAAACGTACCAGGCTCCGTTTGTTTTCCTATTCTACTCAAAATACATATTTGATTCTCAATTATCAAAATTTAATCCAATTCTATTAAACTATTTTTAAACCCTCTAAGTTTGTTAATTTAGTTAAACACTCATTACAATAAAACTTTAAAAACTAACAAAAACACCCTCATCCACCTATTAAAAGCTGATAGTTAGTCACTGTTTTAAAAGCCGGACCGGAGGGCAACTCGCTCTACTGCCTAGGTCACGGTTCAACCGGTCCAACCGGTTGGACCGTCGGTTGGATCGATGACGTCATCATACATCATGATGATGTCAACATATATTTAAAAAAACCTGTTTTTTTTTTTTTTTAGATTTCTATTTTTTAATAAGACAATAACAATTTAATTACTGTCCAACATAATTCAAAGTTCAAATTCAACAACAATCTCAATATAATTTAAGTATTTAACAACAATCCAAAGTCCAAATCCAAACATGATGTTATATATGACAAAATATATAATAAGTACGAATATAATTCCCAGATCAGAAGCCACTTAACATAAAGGTAATCAAATTATAATTTGATGATGAAATTTCTGAATCAAGGTTAGAGAATATAACCAAAATACGGCAGGGACAACATTCCAAAATCAAATATACTCGTAAGGTGAGATTTACAATAGAAAGAATAATGATTTCATTCAATAAAATGTATGAACAATTAAAATACAACACTTCAGCATACACACGGGATTGGGAAAATCATGTTGACAAAAATTGTTGGTTTACAGTTTACACACTAAATTTTATTTGCACCTTTGCCGTGAAAAACTAGGGGATCCTGTTGGTTTGCACCTCTGTAATTTCTACTGGAGAATCCATTGCTCCGTAGGGTCTGCTTGAAGCATCCATTGAACCTCGGAAGGACGCGTATGAGGCTTTAGCTGATTCTGGCAAAGAGTCCATCAGAATTGATACCACGAAGCATGCAGCCAAGAACTAGAATACACAAACCTTAGCTACTTAATCTGGAAACCATAAATCATCAAAACAAACGATATGAACATGATCAAGGCTCGAATGAACACAAAAACCAGATCTTGATCACAAAAATCACAGCTTTCTGACCAGACCAAGCATTGATCCAAAGCAACAACGTAAACCCAGATACATAAAGCAAGATCACAAGGTAAAAGAGTGAGAACCCATCAAGAAAACTAAAAAAAAGGGTACTCGATTTCAAGGATCAAAACTGCAAGAGCCTTGCCTTTTCAATTTATTTGCTTTTCCATTGAAAAAGAGAGCTCTTTGATAGCTGAATTGTATATAGGTTTCAATAGAATAAAATATCATTCAGTCAATACAGAATTGACAAAATTGCTCATCCACAAATTATATAGCTGATTCACACCACTTTTTCTACTAATTTGAACATAATATTTCCTAAGATATAATAGGACACGTGAATTCAAAAAATACATGCACATACACATTGCTCTAGATAAAGTTTGCAATGAAATCATTATTGAAGCTGGATCAAGGAATGACGTGTTTATTACCTGGATCAAGGAATGGAGCTGTTGCCGTCGATTTCCAGCGAGGAACGGAGCCGTCGTCGTCGATTTTCGGCGAGGGAGGAAGACGTCATCGATTTCCGGCGAGGGAGTTCAGTTGCGACTTGCGATTTGGTGAATGCCGAATGGTTGCGATTTCAGACTTGAGGAGTGGAGATGATTGCGATTTGAGTGGGATTTCAGAGAGAAATTTTCAAAGAGAAGTTGAGAAATCTAAGAAATTTTAGTAGAGAAACTGAGAAAGAGAAGAAGCTGAGAAACAGAGAAAGGAAATCAATGGAATGGGCTGCGATAGTGCGATTGCGTAGTGTTAGGGCTTTTTGAAATCAGACCGGTTTATCCGCCGGTCCGGTTGGACCGGCGGTTCATTGACTTTATCTGGGTTTTGACTGGGTTAAAGCGGTTTAATGCATAATGACGGTTTTAATGTTGACTCGAATCGGACACGTGACCGGTTCCCGATCCGGTCCAGTTTTTAAAATAGTCCAGTCAATCACCACCGTCGAAGGGTGGCCAAAAGTCACCGTAATGGTGCACGATCGACTGGATCCCCGGCTTGATCCCAACTTTACAATGGATAGGGTTGCCTAATTTTTGGGGACAAGTATTCTAATCCTCGGCCCGCCTCGCATCATTGCCATCCTTAAGTATGATATTGTCTTGGATAATACTTAATAATAAAATTATATCAAATATAATATGATGCTTGATACGATATTGTATTATATTTACCTTTTGCGATTAAACTTTAATTTACATAGTGAAATTCGCCTTTGTTCTGGTAATTCCTCACGGTCCAGGACCTTCTAGGTTTATGATAAACTTGAATTAGGTTTATAAGTTTTCGTTGTACTAAGTCACAATTTTATGACAATAGTAGAGAGAGTATATGTATAGTTGGAACCACTTCTATAAATGCATTAGAATTTGAACAAAAACATACTATGATGTAATATAAAGAACATTCCACATATATCTATTGCCAAATAAATGATGTTTATATAATCCAAATTTGACAATGTAATTGCATCCTTTAATATGATATAGCTTAAAAGTATAGAAATTCCTTAATTCTACGTACTTAACATATTGAGGGTGAGTTTGGAGTCTCTCATAATCAAGGTTTTAAAACTCGGCTTGGGGTACAATCTGACAAAGTGGCCAAGTCTCAAGTTGACCAGTTGAACTAGTTCTACTAGCGGGTCAAACCGGTGACGTCAACAGGTAAAAAGTTTGAAAGCCAACAAAGACACCAATAAAAATTACTATAAGTCCCTATAGGTTTGAAATCTTACAAAAACACCCCAATTACATTGTTGGTGTCAACAACCCAAGCCAAATAGGGCCTATTTCCGGCGTTGACAACACACTCCATCACCACGAAAACTCTCTCCTCAACCTCTTGACCAAAACCCATCTCACTCCACCCTTGTTCGCCTTGCCAATCGCCGACACCAACCAATTGTTACTACCGATTTATTTTTGCGATTTTCAGTCGTTTCACTCACCGAAAATCACCTCCGTTATCACCTTTCCACTCACTAACCCTTCCTCTTCAAAACCCCCAACATCCTAATCTTTAGTTGTTTGCCGATCGTCATCCTAATTTCTAAGGTTTTTGATGACTAGTAAAATTGGTAACCCGACCTATGAAAACCCTAGGTACCGATTCAACTGGCCGGGTCGAGCCAGGTTTTAAAACACTGCTCATAATCGCTTATGTTTTTAAACAATGATCTAAAATATGTTTTGTAAACATTTTTAAAAAATAATTATGGAATAATCTACTTCTTCCATAATTTATTTTATTGAATGATTCTAAAAGCAAGTATTTTTCGCTTTTGAAATTCAAAATCAGATTTTAGAAAAATCAATTACAAAAATACCCTAAGATTAAATATAAGTTGTAATTTAATTAAATATAAATTCTAATTTCGTATAAATAAATTTTAAAATAAAAAAAATTAAATACTTAAACTAACTAGCAGTCATCAGCCAGCTTCTGGCGACGATTCCCAACTGGCGGTTGCCATCCGCCAACCAATTTTTCCATTTTTGTTAATAATTTTAAAACATTATTATTAATATATTTCAAAATCCAAAGAATTTCTTTCAAAAATAATTACTAATATAGAGGTCCCTCCAATGTATACACTCAATAACCAACAATTTCTTTTTTTCTCTTTTCATTAGAGCTCTACCTTTATAAATTCAATTAAGGTACTACAACATCATCCACTTAAAAGTTTTCTTTTTATGATAACGCTAATCAAGGATATAGCAACAGCATTGGATAGTATTTGAAGCCTATAATTTCTGATAAAAATACACTCTTTCATCATAAAGCACAGTAGTTTTTTTTTTTTTAAATGAAATTTCAACCCTTTTTGCAACCCAACCAACAAAGAATTAAATCCCCAAACCAGAAAAATTAGAAGCCAATATCAAACACCCAAGAAGGAAAACCGCTATGAATTCGACCCTAACAACCCCCAAAGTGAAAGCCAATACCTATAGAACATATAGAACAGAATATCTCACCCAATAACTAAAGATATGCGTTTACTCTTACCTTTGCAACTTCCTCGCTCTCCCTCACCGAACTACTGGCACTGATGATCGAATCCGTTGTCAAGGTGCTCGTATTAGGCGAGCTAGAAACAAACTCTTTTGATTCTTTTGGCTTGTTTAGGGCATGGCAGTGTGGGCAGTAATAAGTAATATATGGGAAATCCTCCTTCCTGGCAAGTCCTACATAAATACAAAAAAACACAAGATTATTTTCAAGCCACCAAATTTTTACCAAGGATAGTTCAATGTAGGGATGTGTCAATGCATTTGCTGGTATACATGTTGGGTTGCATTTTCCTTACTAATATAGATCAACCCACCATTATGCATGTGGCAGTTGGCGCATATCAGAGCATAAGATTGTGTAGGATCCTCCCCTACAAGTAATGCTGCAACTCGAGCAATCCATCCTCCGTTATTCAAGGTAGACCCCTGAGGATCATGATGATTGACAACCAGTTGACTATAACCAGATGTTTGAGGACCTTCAGTCTCGATGGAATGGGGGGTTTCCTCATCAGGATGATGCAATGGATTGCTACCCGCATTATTTGATCTTGTGAGTGATTGCTTTCGCTTACGAAGACCGCTAGATTGCACAACCTCGACATCATTGCTCTTACCTATTAGAACATTGAGTTTAGATTCATTCCCCACATACACTTTCTGTTAGTGTATACTAGTGTATGCCCTAAAAACCATTCGTGTTATCGGTTTTAGAGTATTTTGTCTTATATCTATATATCATAAATAATAGAAGAAAAAGTTTTTCAATTCATATATATAAATTGCTTCCTTTATACAGTCATGCATTTAAAATAAAGTATGTATATGAATTGTCCAGATGATTTATTTAATCGGTAAATGAATTATCGAAAAGGGTTTCCTACGGAAGCAATATAATTTGGGCAACTATATTGCACAGTAGGCATATCGGATGCTTCCGAAAGATATCATGAGTTGATATAAATATGGATGACAATGATAGTCATGTCACTGGGACATTGATATGGATTAGCGGTTAGTGAACTGTTTTTGGAATGTGACTGAATAACGAAAAATCACTTGGAAAGCATATAGTCAATGATTTATCGTTTGGTTATATCAGTGCACGATGTAGTCATTTGACCTGAGATATTGTAGTTGGATCCGATACGGATGCATATGGTTCATACGGTGTATAAGTACGAGACTAATCATGTTTCGTATAATAAAGCCTATTTGGCCATGTGTTGTTCATATGCGGAAATGAACGATGGTTAAGAAGGGATCCATTGACTCGGAAATATAGGATCGGGAGTACCGCTGACTCCATCCGGATTCGAGTTCCTAGACGAACGTCGATAAATGTCGGAAATCAGAATCTCTGGCCATAGTCTATTATTAGTCATACAAAAACAAGTTTGTGATGACGAGTTCCGGACATATTGATCGACGATTCCGTAGAAGATCAAGTTTAAGATTTTGACGTTCTATGAATCCGTGCTTGATCATGATATTTCAATGGAGGGACTTTACCTACATGGTACGTATGATCTGAAATGGGTTCGATAAAGTATTTCTTCATCTTGGTTTAGGGACTATAACACATTGCTAAATGTTTACCATAGTCGTTAGGCTTCTGGACAGGTTTTCGGATTCATCCAGAACTAGTTCACGGCTAATCCACGGTAGACCTACATAGTCACACCAATAGCCTTAAGAAGTTAGAGAATGATGAGAGAAAGAAATGATTATCCGAAGAGAGCTAGCACATTCCGAAGGTAATGACAGGATTTCTATGATAATAGTTACATGGAAAATTATTTATGACATTTTAAGAGTTAAAATGGTTAAACAATAATTAATTATATTTAATTATTATATCTTAAAGCGTTAAGATTAATGAGATGAACGAAAATAACATTTTAATAGTTAAAGGGTAAAAAGGTAAATTTATGGGTTGCTAATGTAAATTAGTTTAGTTTACATGGGCCCTTGAATAATATTGATTATTCAAAGGGTAGCACAATAAATTCGTGGGGTCCCTTTTAAAATAAGTTTTTATTGGGGCTTGGAATTTAAAAACAAATAATTGCAAAATTGCCCAAGTATATATAAATGCAAAAGATTGCATTTTAGTTCATTATTCACATAGTTCACTCAAAGCAAACTAAAAAGCTCTCTCCCTAGCCACGGCCACTCTGTAACTCTCTCAAGGTGGTATTAAAGTGTGGATGTCTCATCATTTTGAAGCTAATCTTCATCAATTCAAAGCAAAGGAGTAGGTATAATCTCTTTTCCAAGCTTTGTTTGAAAACTGTTTTTGAAATCCAACCTTTCATGCTTTCACTCTTCATCTCCACCACTCTTCATACATGTTGTTCTTACACTTTCAAGCCTGAATCTGTACCCAGCTTAGATGCCAGGACAGTTGCAGCAGCAGCATTTGCTTCTGGGTCAGGATCGTATCTCTGCATAACAGAGCTTACACTTGGTACAATTAATTGTAAAAAAATTATCATACGGTTGCAAAAGACACGCCCATTCTTTCAGTCAACAGTATGCCTTCAGAAGTTAAATAAAAAACACTTGTGGTAAATTAAGAACTCAAAAAAAAGAGGACATTTGTTCATCTCTTTTGACCAGGTTCTAATTAACAGTGTCCTTGATCATTACTTGGAAGAGAACACAGAGAACTAATGACTCTCAGCCTCATTTTAGAGAACACAAAATTCTTCAATTTCTGAAATTATGACTAAGTTACCAATTCAAACAACATATATGGGTAATATAACTAGCTTATAACCTACCTGAATGAGCTGTTGAGTGGTATAATAGTTAGTCCTCTCTTTAAGTTCATCAATTTTTGCTTGCCTCTCCGCCTGAAGCCTTTCCAGAGTTTTCTGGTCCTTGTGATCACCTATAACATAAAAGGACAACATAGGTTCATTTATACATCAATCCTAATAGATATAGTATAGGACGTAGTCATGGCAGTCACCATCCTTTTCTTTAATTCTATATTATTGTGGGATATAAGAAATAACAATTTTATTGAAAGAAAAAATCATAAGATCTGAGATCTAGTGTACCAGAAATCACTGGATGAAAATTAAAAAGATAATACAAAGAAGCACAGAGGAAAATAATAACCAAGGAAACACAGCCCCCCAATCTCTTTGAATAAAAAGAAAGATGTCCAAAAGTGTTTAAAAACCAAAGTCCACAAAGACAAGTCACTATCTTATTCAACAAAAATATGAACTCTTTCCAAAACAAATGAAAACCATCTTAAATAAACTCAAAACCTCTCATTCCAATGACTTAGAAATTGCCCAGAAACAGGTCACTATCCAAATTTATTCAACAGAAACAAGCATATGTGGAAATTATGCGCAGCATATAGGTTTCAATGCACAGTAATTAAAGGAAGACAGAGGAGAGACCAACAAAATACTGAAGTATTCTAACAAAAAAAATTGCAATAAATGAGATCAATTTCAAAGTCAAACACTTACACATCCTTGTAAAGCTTACAAATGCCGAATATGCAAGAGAAGATAAACCAGGCAAAAGGAACATCGGCAAAACTCGAAATGCCCTCATTTTCCAATTTAAGTCCATTGATCTTGTTGTCATGATGGCATAACCAACTGCAATAACCTGAAAATCGATCAAATTTGGAAAATCAATAAAAAAATCATATCGAAAAAGTACCAACATCAACTAAAGAGAACTATTACTATTATAGTTATCTTAATTTTTTATAAGAAAAAGAAATTTTAATTATAAAAAAAAAAAAGAATCACGAAAAGGTGGTCTAATAGTCCACTAGAGGGGAAAAAAAAATCCATTACAGGTACAAAAGGAAACCCAAACCGAAGGTCATCTAACTAGAGCTCCCCAATTATCCTAAATAAAAACAAAGGAATCCTTGAATTCATTAAAAACTAACACCCAAAGATAAGCAAAACAAAATGGCCCTGTCCCATAAAATTTTAGTGTCTTCGTATGTAGCATCATAAATGAATTTCTATCCCTTTACAATCAAATAATGCAAAAGACCGCCATCAAGTTAAGAGAATGGTTGGACAAGAGAATAACTTCCAACCCTACTGTTCTGATTGTATTAAAAAATATAGCCACTTTGCTTTTCATGTTCCCATCGCATATTATCCACTAATTTTTTTTCCAGACATTAATAAATCTTAGGTGGAGCCAAAAGGAAATACAATCATAACAGTAAGAAGAGTAATGATTAAATCTAAGCATGAGCTAGAAGGAAAATAAACAAGATAGTGATTGTAGCCCTGCAGTAATAACAGTTCATCACTTCTCAGTCAAAAGACCTATTTGTTGAGAAAGAGCATTTCAACTGGTAGGCTCAAACTCTGCACCGTAAGAATCATGAGATTTTAATCCTTTGTCTAGATTACATAAGATTGAGCAAGTTGTTTGTCTCTTTTTTTTTTTTTTTTTTTGGCTAGAGGAGGATGGTGAGTGCAAAGGGAGTCTTGTCAAACTTTAAGAGAGAAGTCAAGTTTAGAATCTCTAGAATTCTGTTAGTGGGACTGCATGAAATAGATTTTAGGGGTAAATCTTAGAAGTTATGGAGGAGAGATCACAAAATACTTTGACAGCATTTAGAAGGGCCTTGGTGTGGCTTCAGAAATATAGTAGCAAAAAAGAACCTTCATTGGCATCTTCAGAAGTGGAGGTAGGGGTTTACAGAGGATTATCATCCCTCAATAATTAGACTCTTAAGACTGGAGAAGAATGGAAGAGGTATTGAGAAGTCTGTTAATTGGTGGCGCAGACATTGCAAGAAAATGAGAAACAAGAAGAGAGACGCTTCTATAAGAGAAAGCATTTCATAACATACTCCGACAGTATAGACATAGGGTCTTGGTATAGAGCAGTAGAGTAGGGCTAGAGAAAAGACTTAAGTCAAACTTTAGACTACAACAGTCCCAGGATTATAAAGAAATTCCCATTATGATGTAGATCAGGGAAGAGAAAGGAGGGAGAGCTTCGAAGAAAGGGAAGGAAAATTGAGAGAGAATTAGAAAGGAAGAACAAGTTTTTTATTTCATCCAAAAGTTGTCTTTCCACAGTGAAGTAAGGCTCTACTTATAGGACCAAACCTTAGCCTTACATGGTATACAATTTATCTAGGAATATACAGTCATTAAAATGATTATCCAGATAATTATTCTAGGAATATATAGTCATTAAATCAAATATCCCAGATAATTATTCTCAAAATATATAGTCATCCAATTAGCTATTGAGAGCATCAAAACTCCTATCTCATTAGTCTATCATTTGTTTAAAGTTGTTCACAGCATTTGTAAGGGCATTGAATTGTGCTTGTTGGTTGTTGATTTGGTCTTGTTTGTTTAAGTAGATTGTTTAAGGTCTCGATGGCTCTTTTTGTAAAATAGGAGTAGAAAATAGCTACTAAAATTAGACAAAATCTACTAAATGATAATTATAAACTAAGTGAATGCAAATGATAAATATAAACTAGACCACCTGCAAACTAACCCATATGCCCATCAAGTCACTAAAATAACACACTAATATGAGAGTACATACAGATCAAAAAGAAATGGGAGAAATAAGAGAAGAAACTAGGCAGAGATTAAAATGGTAAAGAAAATCAACTATCTAGATGAACTATGATAAGCCTATCAAAATAGAAATCTAATCTCAATACCTGAAAAGATAAATAAAGCATTATAAAAAAAATAAATAAATAATCAAATGAATTTCCTAAATATGAAATATCCTAAGTCCCCCAATTCCTGTATTAGTACAGCATATTTTTCCTGAAGGCGATAGGATGACTTGGAAGATAAGAGTTCAGGTGACTATTCTTGCAAGTTACATCAAAGAGTGGGTTGATAGTTGACTCTTAATCAGTAGCCTTAAGCCCTTTCAATATTATTTGAAAGGCAAAGTCCCTCATAAGATGCAAGTTTTTTATGGCTTTGGCTTAAGAGAAATTAATAAATCTTATTAATGAAGGAGTTCTGATTTGCTTATTGTACAGATTAAAATTCTTGGGGGGCTGGTTCTATTGGAGATGAAGACAAGTTGTATTTATTATCTTTGCATAAGGTAATCAGCTCTTCAATAAGATCTTAGTTCTCATTACGGTTTTTTAGGCTACTTGTGTAACTTCATCTTATTTTCACTATCAATACCAAATCTATAATTTCTTATAAATTAGATAAACAACGATAAACAACTCTACCACTGGAACTTATTTGGCAATGGAGGATTTGTCATGAGAGTAATCAAATATTAAAACTCAGATAAGACAAGCTTCCCATTTGGGCAGAATCATAGCAATTAGACATCTAAATATTAAAACACCTTTTTCTAAGTAAATAAGCAAGCAAAATTTAAAAAAAAAAATAAAAAAAAATTCTGATGGACATGATTAATTTCATTTAGTCGCTTGCTAAAGAAACAATAAATTTCAACTAAGACTGTTTATCAATCATAAAAGCACCTATTACTGGTAACAGTCAATTTTAACACAACTTGTTATGAAAGTGACATTGAATTACTAGGGAAAAGAAAAGGAAAAAACACTGTAGATACTGGGTATAAAAAGGTAAGAAACAAGTGAAAAGGAGAGGACACCTCAAAAATGACAGTGAATATGATAAGATGCTTAGTCATCCTCCTCCAAGTCTGTGATCGCCTTTGCAATCTGGCAAGAACTGCAGCTTCTTCCTTAGAAATGTATTGCAATCTCTTCTCAAAATCATCCCTCCTAAGTCTAAAGATACTGTTCCAAATATGAGAAACAATACCCCTCTGCTTCTTTATTTCTACCACAGATGGAGCATTAGAGTCTTTCGTTTCAGTTTCCATATTGCATTTCTCCTCAGCCATTTCTTCTATTGCTTAACGTCCTTCTAGCAAAAGTCAAAATAAACTTAACTTTATAATTTGAATCACAGAGAATTAGAAACCAAAAAGAGATTCTATCAAAAAGAATTGTGAATATAAGGGTTACAAAAATTCTAGCTAACAAAAAATTCTTAATCTAAAAGTTCAAAATAGATAATCTCATAGAAAAAAGCTTCGATCTGTTTGATATAATATTTAAAATTGTTTTCAAATTAAAAATTACAGAAAATTGTGTAAACGACTTTTGATTGCTTTCCATTTTTTGACTAATTTTAAGGATTATATTCACAAACAGATTTTGAACACACACACACACTCGATCTGTTTGATATAATATTTAAAATTGTTTTCAAATTAAAAATTACAGAAAACTGTGTAAACGACTTTTGATTGCTTTCCATTTTTTGACTAATTTTAAGGATTATATTCACACACACACACACATATATACACACACATATATATAGACACACACACACACATATATACACACATATATATATAGACACACACACACACACACATATATATAATAAAAAACCTATATCTATACCAAAAGGACCCTTTCACGGAATATATAAAGAGAGTTTCAATTCAAGGAAGGTAGAAATAACCAAATATTACCTCTTCTCCTCTACTATGTAGCTAAAGCAACTTTAAAACTCAATGTTGACATTTTACTCTATTCAAAGAATAACCTCCAAGAAAATAATATCCCCAACCTAATTCTTGTCTCCCATGCTACGGCTTTCCACTTGCAATTCAGGGGAAATCTCTTGTCTCTCCATTCTTTACTTTTGTTCTAGATTCCAAAAGTTTGTCAAGAATCAGTAATTATAAATTACAAGCATTAGATTACTACTTTGCTTTGGATCAATCAAGAAAACCCCCATTTCTTACGAAAAATCAATTATATCAATAAATGCTACGTACTGAAAAATATTCACCAAAACATATACAACTAAAACGTAAGAAAAAATAATAATAAAAATATACAATACACAATTACAGCAAAACATGAAAGGAAACAATACCTACAGAGATGCCAAGCGGGATCATATGTATACGACAAAAACGGTGTCATTTTGATGAAATGAAAGAAGAGGGAGAAGGCAGTTGCGGATTCAAATTTCTTGAGAATATGAGGGGGAAAATAGAAAAGGATAGCTGACAGATCGGTTTGATGAAAAAGTGAGGAAGAAAACGTGGATTCCATATTCAACTAGAAACCGTGTCGTTTTGAAACCTTCGTTGACAGGTATTTACAGGTGATTTGTTTTAGGAATTTAGGGCTGAAAAAAAAAAAAAAAAACCGAAAACCGGACCAAAACCGACAAAAAAATCGGTTTTCGAATTAGTCAGTTCGGTTTTGGTTTTTAAAAATTATTAAACTAATTTTCCAATTTGATTAATAATTTAAGGGTAATATTAAACCAGTTAACCAAACCGAGTTTGAAACCGACTTTAAAAAAATATAAGAATATAAAACAACAACACTACGTGTACGCTGTCTCTTACAAAGAGAGAGCGTACGCATTGACGTGGCACGCCGTGGCGTATCAATGACATGTGGCATGTGGCCCACAGTTCTTAATCCCCAAAAATTTAAAATATATATATAATTTCAAACCCAAACTTCCCAGTTCCCACATTGCACGACCTAAATCAAATTCCCTTCCCTAATTTCATCTTCATCTCAAATCAAATTTTACAATTCCTACGTCATCAACCTTTCCATTAATTTATGAAATTCCAATTTTTCCCAAAAAGCCACCCTCAACAGAAGATCCTATTGATTTGGTTGAGGTGAAGCAACAAAAAAGAGTTGCATCTGTTAAAGAGCCATCACCAGCAGCGAGACTAATGCCAGCATCCTTGCCTATTCCAACATCTCTTAGCATTGATCGAGCAGCGGCTTCACTTAACAAACAAGACTAGTAGCCAGCCATTGATCTTGTCAATCCACCCGCATTGGTGGCAAAGGAAGAAGCTTTAAGGGCAAAAAAGAGGATATACATAACTATTTTACTGAATTCACTCGGGATAACCACCATGCGACCACCACTCCTACCTCGTGACTACCACTCTCAACGGCTCCTACCGCCGCCGCATACCGCCAGAGCTCAATCACCACAGCCATCGCCACTGCTTGTATGTGTACCTTGACTGTTTTCACTTTCACTAATAAATTCAATCCCAAAACCCATAAGTTCTTGTACATATCTCAATCTTCATTTTTAAATAACCAAAGTCATTACTCATTGCAAAACTGGGTCGTGAAAAAAATGAAGTTTTGGATTCATATTTTGAGAAAGTTAAGATTTTGATGAAAGGGGGAATCATTTTAGGGGCGCTTGTTTGTGGGGTTTTGGTGTTTGGTTCCAAGAGAGTTTTTGCTGTGGAGAGTGTAGTAAATGCAGGGTATGGAGGTTAATTTCATTGAATTTAAATTTGCATATTGGTTGGATTTGGTGAAAATGCAGAATTTTTTGGTGCAGCTGTTGCAGCTACATTGTTGCACTATAGGCAGATTCCAAAAGTGTTTTCGGTGTAGTGTTTGTGTGCTGGAAGTGATGGCTGGACCTGTTTTTGTGCATTTGAGGAGGTATATCCAGGTGTTTGAGGAGTCAAGCTGCATTTTGACATTGTTTTTGTGCATTTGAGGAGGTATATTCGAGCATTTGAGGAGTCCAGTTGCATTCTGACAGTGTTTTTTTCTTTTGTTTTTGTTTATTTTTGGTCGATTGTTCATGACAGTTGAAAATTGAACTAGGTCAGCTTAAGCAAGAAGAAAGTCTGATGTCTGACCTTGCGCATTATTGTTTGAATATGATGTATGTTGAAGATGGTGTTGAGCAATGTAAAGTGGCCGAGTGAATCCATGTGCAAGTTGTTTGTGTACTCTATATATCTGATGCCTTATTGGATGTAATCTATAGAGTTTTATTTTACTAGTTTTATGAGAGCTTTTGGTTAATGCAAGGATTTGTAAACTTACCCAATTTTGGGAGGAAAAGAAATAAAGAAATACACAAAATGCATTGTTTCGATTGTAGTGTTTTATGTTACATGTACAAGATAATTGCTTGTGTAAATGATACTTCAGGGAAATGGAACAGCTCTTCAGAAAGGGACATTAAACATAAAATCACATAATGCAATATTGAAATGCAAAAAGAAACAACATCCACCAAGGATATACATCCTTATACACAAAAGCAACACAAACACAAGACAACCAAACTCTACCATCTTGAGAACCTTTACCAAAAAACCAACAAGGGAAACAAGACACACCCTAACTTGCCCAGTTATCCCAACAATAGCAAAAAAACTACACACAAAAAAAAAAAAAAAAAAAAAAAATGCAAATTTATCAGCCATAAGTTCCAAACACAGAAGCTGCAAATTAATAAACAGAAATATTCTTATGTGCACCTGAAAGTGCTGGTCATCCGTGATGTTTTCTCCAGCACTAAAAGCTCCTTAGTTGATGGAACGATTGAGGGAAAGGTTTGATTTTGAGTGAAGAGATCGAACCAAGTGTAGTTGAAATCTTTTATTGTTAATGTTGTGAGAGTGGTTGGTATGAAAGAAGGATGAAAAGTTGGTGTTGATGTTGAATTGTTGATGGAGTTTGAGTTGGAAAAGAAGAATTGTGTTGAGGGGATTGCAAATTTTTAAGGTAGTGCTCTGTTCAACATCTTAGTTTGGATCAAGACGTGTGCTTCCTGGATAGATTTTGGGTGTTAAAGGGAATGCTCTGTTCTGTCAGGGGTGTTAGTAAGATAACTNAAAAAAAAAAAAAAAAAAAAAACAACTTCACTACCAACAAAGAGAAAAGGATGCAGCATAACAAAAGCTGCTGCTACCACTCCAACCTGCCCAACCAACACTCCAACAAGAAGAACATTACACTACACACTACAAAAACTACAAATGCATAACCTACAACCAACACTTTACACACTACACAACTGCAAATGCACAACCTGCACCACCAGCCCACTAAACATTGCATAAACTGCACTTGCGACCCATTCCTCTTTTTTACAGGGGACATAACCCATCAATCTACACCTTATATATATCAAGACGTATATAAAGAAGACAATGCGATATTAAAACTCAAGAAATTCGGCACCTAGACTTTCAACATTAGATTTACATAACTAATCAACTTAACTCAACATCATAATATGCAAAATTAAATTCAATGATATTTGAAATTTCAATCACTATTCAATAGCCAAAAGGATATACACCTGGTAATTTTATAGAGAATAAAAGATACAAAGTAAGAAATGGGAATTCCCCAAAGGAACCAAGTTCTTAGGACATGCACAAGAGACTAAGCTACACAAAAAAACCAAGAGCAACAAAAGGATTTACACCCTTTATACACAAAACCTATACACAACCAGCAAAAACACCCGCGGAAACACCAAAAATCAGCTCCTTGCGGTTGATCAAAAAGTGCACAAGCTGCTAAGATGCAACATCCACTGTATAGATTGCTAAGACACAAAACCAGGTTTGCCAAAGCTCACATCAGCAGCCAACAACCAACCCAAAATCACCTGCAACACACCTAGCTATGCACTTGGAAGTAGTTGGCTGCTCTTGCAACCAACACACCAAAAATGAGAAACAATGCCCGAGCTCTCCCCAAACCACAAACAACATTGCAACTAGACTGCAGGTACACCTGAGAAGAGTCCACGTCCTAGTCTCCTGTAACATATATGTTGAAATAGAGAGGTGCCAAGGTTGGGCAGGCAGCCTTTGTTGCTTGCAGAACACTGCCCATCATAAGGCTTGTTGGCTAATTCCCAAAACTTTAAAAAACCCTAAACCCTAAACCTTAAAAAACCCTAAACCCCAAAAAACCTTAAATCATAAACCCTAAATCCTAAAAAACCCTATACCCTAAACCCTAAAAAACCCTAAACCTTAAACCCAACCCAGAACCCTAAACCTAG